ACGACTCTAGGAAGTACTGGTGGTTTAAAGGACTCTCATATGCCTGGTGGCTAGCCTCTACAACAACCTGGACTTCTATTGGGAAAAAAAAAAAAAAAAAAAAAAAAAGAAGTAGGAGAAGAGGGTTCGAAGAGTTGCGTAGTGGGGTAATTGGACATGCAACTGGGTTACTACAAGCCGCTTGAGGTGACAAGGATCTTTTTCTTTTTTCTCTTTTCCCTTCGCATATTAATAGTGTAGTTTGGTGACGATAGAACTTGGAGGGTGGGGAAAAAGAGTTCTCTAGAAAGGGGGGGGGGGGGGAGGCGGGTTGGAGGAAAGGGGCTACGCGCCCGTCAAATTCAAATATTCAGAGGCCCATCGAGGATGAAGGGTGGGTCCCAGGTCCTGGTGGTTAGAGACGGAGAAAATGAAATCAAGTGGTCAAGTTGGGGTCAACGGAAGAGGTGCGCTGAAGAGAAGGTTAAGGTTAAATTAGGTTTACTGAACTTTATTGGCTAGTCTGTGGAGGTTGAATGTGGACAACGGGAGGGATCTGGACTCGTGCCGCTGGATCTTAAAGGATGCTTTGGCTTGTCAGGAAGGCATTGAATGATCTCTTCAACAGTGAACTTATAGCTTGCATAAAGCTATGACAAGGGTGAGTGATATTGTGTGGTGGATATGAAGAGGGGATTTAGGCCCTTCTTCTCTATCTCTATATTCTAAAGAGTTATGAAGGGCCCACCATAATGGCACAAGGTGGGCCCAATGAAAATCGAGGAAGGGGCGGGCCGGCGGGGTTCCCGAGAGAGGGACTGCGCGGAGCCGAGAGGGTCCAGCGGCGGAGGGCGGACGCGGGCGGCGACGGTTGGCACACAGTGGGCATGTGGCGGTGGGCCCCGCGGAGGGGACGTGGGAAAGAATTTGTGCGGGGCCGAGTGAGAATTTGTGTGTTGGCGGTAGGGGGGAGGTGAGTCTGTCCACGCTGAGCCTTGCATTTTGAGCGATCGCCTCCACGCCTGGGTTGATATGTGCTTGCGCGCTAGAGAGGCAGAGAGAGATCGCTGCAATTGACACGTGTGAGCACGGTAAACACACACACACACACACACACACACACACACACACACACACACACACGAACACACACACAGAGAGAGAGAGAGAGAGAGAGAGAGAGAGAGAGAGAGAGAGA